TATTAAAGCGAACATATTTTTTAGTGAGCAGATAAAGTAGACAGTACGCAATGTCTGAAATGAAATTACCTGGAAAATGTTTTGGAGGTTTCCAGTGGTTTTCTTCTATGCGAATTGGGTCTTATGATATTTTTTTTAATTGTGATTTTTTTTTTTTAATTTTTTTTTTACTTGACTTGATAGCATAAAGGAATAGGGTAAATTGTCCACTTTCAATTGATTTAAAATGATTGATTTACTTGACAACTTTGAGAAAAACACAATTTATCAAAGACTTTTAAGAAATCAGCTCAAGGGGAGTTCCAAACCTATATAACCCATTGTTCTTACTATGATTATGTAACATGTTATTGTAATGGTAATACAGTCGTACACATTCATTTTTTCAAGCATTATAATTGTTTTAAAAAAAATGATGCTGCACATGGCTAGAAGGCTATTGAGATTCCTTTAGTTTGATTTTTTGAAAATCTTTGGTCTGACAGCGCCCCCGCTCTCAGCCTTCTATCAAGTCAGTCGGCACCACTTCAGGGGATCTTCAAATAGAACACAACTTCAATCCTAAGTGTATTTTAAATTCATCTGGAAGAAGCAAGGCTATCATCTGCTGAGAACCAGAAGGACATTAAGTTATACTCTAACACGGACTAAACACCCTTCTGGTTCTGATGGTTCTCAATATCTGACATTGAGGCGGTATGATTAACGTTCACAATCCTCAATTGACCGATAACCGTGAAGCATTATATGCATACAATATTTCTATTTCAATCTCGGTATCTCAGGGTCCTTATACATGTACGTTTCCACTGCCAGGAGTGTCTCAGTAAAGTTAGACTTAGAATGTGCTGTTTACAGATCCTGGCTTTAAAAGTTTTAGATTGATATATTTTGTATCCCCATTCGGCCGATGACAGGCACTGTTCGTTTTTAGAATTATTGATTAGAAGCATTTCAAAATGGTTATGTTGGTACTCCTTTAAATTATACTTTTTGTTATGATTATGACTTTAGGGAGATGATTTTAGGGTTATTCATTCATACCTGGTACAAATAAAGTCATTAATATAATAATAATAATAATAATAATAGCCTAATAGTCCACTCCAAATTGTATTAAACCGAAAACGGAAATTCTTTTTGCCCAATTGATCGTGAGCCCGGATTTAGGGGTATTCTAAATAATTATGAATATTTTTTCTTTTTAATAAGTAATTTTTGTTCATGCTTTGCAGGGAGGTTTGATGCCATTCTAAGATATTCAATGATTCAACTTCATTCACTAATTTAAACAGGTAACAATTCAACTTCATTCTTTAAGTACATACAAATGTTGAATAGCATCTTTAATCCCAGTTCTCAAATCCTAATAGTTTTAAGATGACATTACCATGTGCAACCGAACAAAGGGATGTGTTCACACGTACATGTAGGTTGCAGATCGAGTCTGTTAATTTTTTGTCAGTGGGAAGAGCCCCTATCATGGTGGTGATGAATGATGCAGGCCGGACCCTGAGATGAGGATGTTTTCTTTCCTAATTAAACCACCATAAATCATGAGTCAGGCATCTAGAAAACCAGACATGTTTCTAATCAGCTTGCGATTGGAATGGGTAATTTGATGTTTATAATCGCCGCCGTGAAAGATGTCCCTCTTTCCAAAGCGGATTTCCAAGCTGCACTATTACATTTGTTTGCATCCTGAATTGCAAATCTTTTTTAAGCTGTATATTTGTAGATATTAGGGGATTGTAAATTCTGAAGGCTGCTGATATGGCTGACTATCTCATTTATCCAATAAATATTTGTACATTCCTGTGATGAATACCCAATTAGAATAAACACTAATTAGGCTTAAAGGTAAAGACCAGTATTGGAAACGCCCCAATTTCAAAAAATGAAATGGAAGCTCTCATTACCAATCATGTGAAAGAATAAGTTTTGACTAATACATGATGATAAAAAATTTGCCGGGAAACCGCCTACTAATTCATATATTTGGTAAACTTGTTTCTCTCATGGTCTGTGAGAGATATAGGGTAGTCCCATATACATCTTTCTGTGTATAGTGCTTGTAACTTTACGAAGAATGGGCCAAATTTCTTATCATTTTGATGATTCCAGAACCTTGCAGATGCTAGATGCTAGATGATCAACCTTTTCTGATCGATTCCACAACGTTTCTTTCACAATGCAATCGCATGACCATAACTGGTCTTTACCTTTAATGGAATAAAAAATAACCCTGTGAGACTGAGAGTAAAATGTACACACATTTCACTCTACATTGAGAGATAATCATCACAGTGTAAAAGCTGGAAAAGCTAAATGAAATCTTGCATTGAGAGAATTTTAACGGGTTCCAGTGGAAATATCATAATTATGACAGATGATACTCTTTATATTACCATTAACAAAACCAAGAATGATGAAATTGAAATCTTGGAAAGGGAGGCTTTCAACTAGTTGCTATTGAAATGTTTAAAATCATTATGACACACAATACTCTTCATTACTTATTAAAACCTGAAGCCTGTTGACAAATTATTATCTTCCTGGTAATCATATTTGAATATTGAAAATTATATCCCTTTGTACCACAATGTTACAGTAGAATTGTCCATCTTTTTTGTTACTTTTTCAAGCATGTTTCTCAAAGAGTCTAGCACAGGAGCATCATTACCTGGTAATCTTTGCGTAAATTGACGACACCATCGATATTAGCAGTATTCTTTACCTAAACATCTTTTCTATGGATACCAAGGACAGTCCCATTATGTATTCACAAGTCCATGTTATGATTCCCATTTCAAACGTCTTATACTAGACACTGCATGGATTTCATTCCCTCTAGATACAGATCTTCATATTGTATTCAGCATATTCCCCCAAACAAATTTGGGTCCCCCAGCTCAAAAACCGAAACCTGTGAACTTTTCACCTGCCGACCTGTGAAATACGAACGCATCAAACAAACTGGTTCCAGGATCGAGAAGTGCATGGTGACAAGTTTTTGGAAATGCAACAATGGGGGCCCCATTTGGTATGAAAACAGACAAATAAGGATTCTTGAATAGTTGTTGAAAAGATCCTTTTATTCTGAGCAGTATCAAAGTAAACATGAGACCTTATTTGAACATTTATTTGTGATACCTTGGTGGAAATTTTGACACAATCGATGGTAGAGTATTACTGTAGCAAGCTTATATCATTGCCCTGGGTTATAGCTTTGTGGAAATGTTTAGAAACTGATCAGATTTCACAGAGCCTACTTCTGAGCACTGAAATTACATTTAAATATTTTATATCCATTAGTCACCTTCAAATTGAAAGATACACTGTAGATGCAATTATTATGTTTGTTTGCTTTTTATTTATGTAAATCTCTTATTTGCAGTGTAGCCTTGTTAGCTACTAAATATTATACAAAAATAAACCATATGATAGATAGTCCCCAAGATGCCACCAATCTTTCATTATGCATTAAAATTCAGATTTTGTAAAAAGAGGATAATTCAATTTGAAAGAGTATTCTCATTCTTCATATTGTTGTATACATTGTTGTATAATGTATTGCTTCGTACATGTAATTCCTGAACCTGTTTTTAATTTCAAGAAGGAAGACTTTTTTATGTCCTGAAAGATTAGACCATATCAAAAGTTTAAGTAGTTCATAAACTGCCATGAGGCTGCAAAGGTCATAATTTAAAGACCCCTTTTTCAGTACAGAGAATGATTGACATAATGCAATGAAATCCAGTCTGCACTACTTACAAAATGTACATCTTGTAATCGGTTAACATTATTCATGAATGAAACAATCTGGGCTTGTTTCAATTTGCTTCATCGAGCATATACATGCTAATTTCTCATCTAAATTTTAGATGACACCTTGCAAAGTAGTCCATTCAAGCGTTGCAAAATTGCCTGATCAGGCCACGAAATCGCCTTGAGAACCTTCATCAGTGGATGAAAATGAAGAATATGCCGGCCGGCGCCAGGGTCTTTGGTAATCTGGGAGCCAGGGATGAAGTTGGAGGGCTTCGTGTTGTTTCCCCCTCTATGAATGTATCCGTAATGACGATGCGCAGTGAAGCAAGTGATTAGCCCAGATTGGAGAATTAGAAATGAAAATATCCGGTATTTAGAGTGGTCTGAGGTCAGGATTGTATGTTGCGGCTTATTATCCGGGTGAATAGTACTTATGTTGGAGAGTTTGGAAAGAAAAGAAAAAAGGGAAATGTAAGGGATAGAAAATAAATGTGAGAGAGAGGGGAGAGAGGAAACTCAGGAGAGAAAGAGAGAGAGAGGGGGGGGGGGGGGGGGGGCCGGGGGAGGGAAGAAAGAGGGCGGGAAGAGGGCAACATACACGGGGGGGGGGGGGGGGGGGGACACACCGACAGAACCAGACAGGAGCGGGAGAGAGAAAATTTTCTGGAGTTTTGAGTTTTTGGAGGAAAACAAAAATTAGTAAAAATGATGTAGTTGGGAAGAAAGGAAACAGAGATAAAGGAATAGATACAGTGCAGTCATGTACATGGAGGAAGAAATTTTTGTTTGAAAATGAAAGGAAAGTTTATTGCTTGTTCAAGCTAGTACCCCATGCTATGCAGCTAGCTAGCCGGAAGTGACTAAGATGGATGGATGAAATAGATATGCTTCTAATATCCTCCTAATGTTGATTATTTCAAGTTTTTTTTAAAAACATAATATTTTATTGCAAAGTACATGAACTGCTAATTTCAGTTTTTCGTTAAAGGGAGGATAATATTGGAACAGTAAATACTGCTGAGAAAAGTGTAAACTTGGATTAGGTTATTGATGCCTTTTTGTGCAAGGAGAAAAATGAAGAGTGGACAATATATCTTTGTGATGTGACTGATTATTGTTAATGAAATCTTATGCATAGACCCAGTAGGATAACCTTCTGGCTCTCAGCAGATGAAAATATGATTAATAAATTCATAATTTTTTAATCATTTTTTCCTATTTTTTTCCAGGGAGTCCTACAAGGATGGCTTTTCATCTTGAGATAGATGTGTGGCTTCAGACTCTAGAGCTAGAGGAATATATCTCTCTCTTTCAATCGTACCACAACGTCAAGGTAAGACACATATAAGTGGTATATAATTATCTGTAAGACACATATATGATATATAATTATCTGTAAGACACATATAAGTGGTATATAATTATCTGTAAGACACATATATGATATATAATTATCTGTAAGACACATATAAGTGGTATATAATTATCTGTAAGACACATATATGATATATAATTATCTTTAAGACACATATAAGTGGTATATAATTATCTGTAAGACACATATATGATATATAATTATCTGTAAGACACATATAAGTGGTATATAATTATCTGTAAGACACATATATGATATATAATTATCTGTAAGACACATATAAGTGGTATATAATTATCTGTAAGACACATATATGATATATAATTATCTGTAAGACACATATAAGTGGTATATAATTATCTGTAAGACACATATATGATATATAATTATCTGTAAGAGACATATAAGTGATATACAATTATCTGAAAGACACATATATGATATATAATTATCTGTAAGAGACATATAAGTGATATATAATTATCTGAAAGACACATATAAGTGATATATAAATATCTGTAAGACACATATAAGTGATATATAATTATCTGAAAGACACATATAAGTTATATATATAAATATCTGTAAGACTGGTTAAATGAATATTGGATGGATCATCTTTAGATATTCAAGAGATACATCATTATCTTCATTCTTTCTTTGCCACTAGGCACTAAGCTTAGAAACAATCACAAATTATGAACTTAGAAGCATCATATATACTCAATAATAATTAATATTATTGATATACTCAAAGCTTTTTATTATTAATTGAAGTAGTTATTCTATAAAAGTGTGAATGTATACAAAAATCAATATTTTATGTTCTTGAAGAATTTTTTTCACCTCAAATTATTTTGCTGAATTCAAGACAGGTTCTTATTGCACATTTTTACGAGGTGTGTGATTGAATTAATAAATTTAATTTTGAAAGCTGATACCAAAAGTATTGTATTTGGGTGCTTCCTGAGAAAGAAGATGAATTCAATACGAGCCCTCTCCAATTACTGTAGATTGAATTGGTCTGTAAAGAGAACGCACATTTATTTCATTTTCAGGATCCACACAACAAACAGTACATTCAGCTCCTCACCCAGATAAAACATCAGCACAATAGTACAATGTTTGCATTGTATTTCAAGATGAGCTGCTCCCATTTATACAGACAAAATGAAATGATAGAACATTTTGTTTGCATTGTACTTTAAGATGAACTGCCCTCAAAACATTTATTCAGAAAAAATGGCACATTTTGTTCGTGTTTGAGATAGGCTGACCAAAATGTGATGGGGGAAAGAGATTGCATCAAATTACTACTATTACTTAAAAACATATTATTTTTTATATTTTTTAATTGCACCCTTTCATCAGCATTATTAGGTTTGAAGAAAATATTATATTCATAGTCACAGTTTTCCATTCTCTTTTGAAATACATTTTTATGTTGATGATGTTGTCAAACTGTAAATTATCTTAAACTATCTTAACCTATTGCCTATTGGAATCTGATGGTTCCTATAATTAAACAAAGGGGATTTGGGAATTCAGTAGTGAATGGGTTAAACTTTCTCTACAACACCACACATCATTCCCCCCCCCTCTCTCTCTCTCTCTCTCTCTCTCTTTCTCTTTGCACATGTATAAAAACAAAGAGGGCGAAAAGAACATTAACTATACATTTAAAATGATAACATGTCTGCTGAGAGCCAGAAGGGCATAAACGAATAGCACTTTACATAGTTAGTGCCTTTCTGGCGCTAACCAGATGTTGTGGCTTGCAGCAGACATAATGTACTCCAATGGTTATTGAATGTGTCTCTCCCTTTGCTATGGTTGCGAACACACAAACATGTATGCCCCCTCAATCTAGGTCGGGACGTCGAACATGAAAATGTCACCGGCAATTGAGTACCTTACATACCAAAGACATGATGCAATTGGCTTGGAATGATTAGAGTGCGATTGTATGTCGTCTGCTGAGACAGTGAGAGCCAGAAGGTTGTTAACTAATATCATTTACATGATGGTAATGCCCTTCTGGCGCTCAGTAGATGATGTATTATTCTGGGGTTTGCATCCTCTAGTTAGAAGTATCCTTCAAGATTTGATGGAAGAAAACACAAATTGAAAGATGTGTAGAACAGAAATAGAAGAGTAAGGCTTGGGGCATGCCATGTTTTTAATGGCATCACTAGACTATTCTGAATGGGATTTCAAAATTTCCAAACATCCCCCCCCCCCTCCCTACAAAATGTCATCAATTTTTGTTCTGCCAATAGCCTTATAAAAATGGCCAATATTTCAACAAAAAATATTTGGCAGGGGGTGTCACACCCTCAGTTTTCGCTCTGGCTACGCCTCTTCATATTTGTTGGCTTTTGGGATGGGGTTATGCATTCCTGAGGTTGTGATGTGGTCAGTGATGTATACAACATTGAGAAAGAGAAATACAAATATTGAACAGATCACATACTTTCAAAATGAAAGATGAAAATGTATGATGGATTGATTGATTGGGAAAAATAACAAGAGAGGGAGGTGAGGAAATGCATTTTGCTTACAGATACTCCATCATCCATGTGGCTCTAGATTATGGTCTAGAACGGGTCTCGAATTTGATATCTCTGTCTAGAAGTTTTTAATATATCTTTCATATCTGTGAAATGATTTTGAATGTGTCTTAAATAGTCTCTTTTTCTTTTTGTTTTGTTTTAATGATCTTGAAAATATCTTCCGTGTGTTAATCAGAACCTTCAACGGTAATGTCATAGATAAGCCTTATGTAAGTTGTTGTATAGGCCTAAATTACAACCAAAGTCTAGAAATCCCATGTTGTTATCTAGATGAATGTTCTCATGGGTACTGCAACAATCAGTAAACATGGTCAGGGTTGGTATTTAGTGGAAGGTCAAAGCATCTAAAAGTACAGGTCACAATCATACAAAAATAGAATCGGTGGTGTTTCTTACATATCAAACAAAGAAAACATATCATTTTACCTGTCAGATATCATGAAGAAGAATCCTTGATTTAGATGACTTGAGTATTGAATTCCTAGGAATGTTCTGATGATCTAAATACAGTCTTTGTTTGCTGCTCTTGGTGCAAGTTTAAACAAAAGATTTGGTGAGATTTGTTTCCAATGGCTACAAAGCTTAAAATGGGAGAGACAAAATACTGTATTAAAGAATCAGAAAATAACGACAAGCTTCATAGCGGGAAGATAGAATTACAGTTATACACACAGAAACTCAATATTTTGGTGGAATTTGTTCTAATGACATTTCAAATGAATGAAGTCACTACATGACTGTACTTTTTAAATTTATTTTTTCACAATTTCCTAGGAAATGTGAAACTTTTCACCCAAGTAAAAGCATTTTCCTCCCCTCAAAGAAATTCACATCATTTGAATAAATTTGAATAAATGTTTAATATATGTATAAAGAGGTGTAATAAAACTATAAGCCAGTGTAACTGATCTATGAAATTGAAGTAGCATGTGGAATTCTTTGTTGATGCTGGTAAAAAATACTTCCTCCAAAGTTGGAGGTGTCATAATTGGTCACTCTCATTGGTCCCAAAAAGTATTATCTTCAATGGCTTGAATCCCATTTGTAGAATGTGGAATTGTTGAAGTTCTGCTACAAGCTAAAGCAGAATTGTGTCAACGAAAACAAGCAATAATGAACTAATTTCAACAAACGGCCGAGAAGATACTGACTACCTTTGCATCCTTCCTTGACAATAAACCCCTCTCACCAATAATGGACTCATTTCAACATACAGTGTATGACCAATTAGGACTACTGTTCCACATCTCTCAGGGCACCCCTCTCACCAATAATAGGTCGTTATCCAATTACCTCATTATCAGCTAAGTAGGGCTGGCTTGTTAAAATCCTTGTCTGTCTACCCAATCTAGTGATGAAGGATAAGGGTGTGACCTGCAATGACCTCTTGTTTGATCTTTCCATTTGATGAGGAGGGAGAAATGTTTGTGTACCCTTAGCGTCATAACGTTAATTGGTATTACAGGTTGATGTTTTGTTGTTGTTGCTTTAGTTTACTTTGTATCTGTTTAATCAGGGCAGTGGGATCTATTATTTGTTATCGATGTGCCTCTTAACTGTTCAAATATATTATTCTCATTATTTCTTCATACCTTTGTACTTCCTGATTTTTATATCTTTCCCTATCTTCAAGTTGGTAAAATGCTACTGTGAGTGTCAGTGCTAATTATACACATATCTGTTATTCAAAAAGCTGATTTGGCATAAACTTATAGTGTGGTCCCATCACCTCATCTTTATACTTGTGTAACTATTCTTTATTACAAAAGGATACCATCTTTGAGAAAGGACTTTGTTGGATATGAAGTTAAAACTTGAAAGACCAACCTTTTTCATCAAACATGAAATGATGAGTCCCTGGCTTTCAAAATAGCTTCATTGAACAAGTAATGTTTCATGAAGAATAAAATATAACACCTAAAAGTTGTAATATTTAGGAAAGAAGACAATTTCACTATGAAATAAATCTGTATCAGCCTGGGCATTCATTTGCTCTTCTTATCTGAATGGATTGTTCAGTTTGTGTTAGTGATTTAAATTGAAAAAAAAAGTTTATTCTGAAAGGTAATTTGTCTATTGAGAGAGAAAAAGGCTGTTATCTCACATCTTCCTTCAGACACTTAAATGCCAATTTTATTGGAGGAGCTCGCGCCTTTGAATGTTTTCTGAAACAGATATATGGTGCCATACAAATGCTGTTCATCATCATCATCATATACATTGTAGTACCATTCACGATTAGTGTCCTTGTGCAGCTCAACATATGATACATGTACCATGATGGAATATTAGAACAACAGACCAACCATTCTGTAATTTCTAAATTCAATCATGCAATGGATAATCATAAAATCAAAGAAAAACTCAGAATACCAGAGTAATCAT